AACCAAGAGGAGACCTGATTAAAGGTGACGGTGGCAATATTGGTGCGAATATTTTGCTTGAGGGAGGCATAGTCAGCCGGTAGACCTCGTAGAACACAAAGAATAATATCTTGTTCAGAGATTTCTTCATGAGCCAGTTTGAGAGACGACACAATGGTGAGAACAGTGTCCAAATATGTTTGCATGGAATCGGTCCCCTTAGTAACACCATGTAAACGCTCCTTCAACTGAAAAATATGAGTGCGTGAAAGAGAATTGTACCGTTGCTCTAGATGATTCCAGATTGCAGCCGCGGTGGGAAGAGCGTGAATATGGGTTTGAACCGTGGGTGAAACAATAGCGAGGAGACAGGCCCGAATCTGAGCGTCAACAATATGCCATGATTCATAGGCGGAATTGGGCTTCATAACCGGGGATTCATCCTTCCCCGGTGCCGCAGCCTTCTCATCGAGAATAAGAGGCGGAGGAGATGGTTCAGATCCATCCACATAACCGAGAAGACGATGAGCGAGGAGATTTGCACGGACGGTGGCCGACCAAGAGGGATAATTGGTGTCATCAAGCTTGACCGGAGTTAGAGATAGAAGATTCCGGACAAACAACTTGAGTCCCGTAGGAAGACGATCCATCGGATCAGAGGATACAGGAGCCATGGCTGAGCACGGCTTGAACAAAGAAGAAGAAATCGGCAGTGCCGAAAAAATTTTGGTGATTAACGCAGCAAAGGGGAGAGACACGAATCTTTGTGCTCTGATACCATGTTGATTTATGAATTCACTCTTAAAGAATAATTGTGTACAAGGATGTTTATATAGGTGAGGATCCCTACATGGACTAGGATTCACCAAATATGTAAACTAACATAAATACAATTCTGCTATAACTAGACTTCTTTCCATATATGTCTAACAATATTCTACACTTTCACAATCATGTTAACAAGCACAACAAAATAATTTTGACATATAGTCTAACACTATTCCCGAACAAAACTTAAATTTAAGTTAAAATTCGGGCCAGTTTGGTGAAGGTAAAGACATGGGTTTTCACATCTTTCGATAACAACTTTTTTTGGTGTTTGGTAAGTCATAAAAAGAATTCGAATTTGATATCTCCATACATATATATCACAAATCCTCCAAATGTAGGATTTCAATATCTCTCAAATTTAGAAAAATATCAATGTGGGAATTCAATATTTACTCAACCATCGATCATCCCCTGCCACCGGCTACCGCTGCCCCAGACAACCACCCACATGCCAGCGACTCCTACAAATCACTAATTAAATCATAATTCTTAATCTCTGCAAATAATTTTATTTCGAAATTCAAATTTTGAATTTCATATCAATTTTCTCAAATTTTAAAAATCCATATAATATCTTATATTCTTCTCTCTAAAACTTATGGGAGACACCCTTAAAATCTTTCCAACACCTTCTCGGGAGGCTGGTTAATGCATGAAATGGAGAGTGATCAAATTGGTACCCGCACTAGCTATGAATAAATGAATCTATGATCCAAATCATACTACGCACGCCACAACTACTTTGTCGGACTATTTATTGGACGCGGACAATGGGCAGGTTGATTCAAAGTCAGTTTAATTCGAAAAAGTCAAACTAAACAAATGCACCAGTAATTGGACAATTTAAGAGTGTCCACTTGTAATTTTCCATTTTAAACAACCAAATTAACTTGCCTTAATTGTATCGCGATCGTCTTTTTCGTACATCTTTCTCTTTTTTTAAACTTTCTACGAGCGTATTCTTTTTGTCTAAACTTTTTTAATCGGATCCAAATTTTTTAGGCTAATCTGATATAGTCTGGTTCGAGTCATTAGATCTAGATGAATTTGATAGGATCTAAATTATCCTCAAAATAGAGGATTTTGATATCTCTTGAATCAAAGTTGGTTGCCCGTTTTTCAAAAAATATTTTTTATTATTTATGGTCAAAATTACTAAGAGGACTTCCTAAAGTTTAACTACAAAATTAAATTAAAATTACATAAATGATCCCTAATCACAAGTGGTTTCTATCTTTAGTCATCAGTTATAATATACTCCTTCCGTCCCAAAAAGAATGGGACGATTTGACTTTTTGGAAAATTAAGGGAGGGATATTTTGGTATTGACTTTCCAAAAATACCCTTGATGTAATGGGTAAAAGTAGGATGTGATGGATAGATGATTAGAAAAAATGTATGATGTGATAGGTAGGGTATGAAAAGGTAAGAGGTAAAAGTGGTTTTTTAATAGAAATGTAACGGACTTTACGGGACGCAGTTTTTTCTAAACGTAACAAACTTTTTGGGACGGAGGGAGTATGACATAAATGGTCCTAATTTTTGAAAATTATTTCATAATTCGTCTTTTAAGGACTATTTGTGGAAAAAATATTTTATCATATGTAGTCTAAAAGATTATGACATATTTGCACTAAATAGCTCTAAAAGTTAAGTCATTTTTCTAAATAGCACTTAAACTGTTTTATTTCTTAAATAGCACTTAATAATGTCCATAATGTCCAATGATAGCGAATATTTACTTGAATAATGACAATGCATAATGACTAAAAGTGCTATATTGGAAAAAACACATGTGATGATATTTAGAAAAAGTCATTATGTTTTAGTGTTATTTAAGTAAATTCTCCAAAGATTATTTATGGAATAGTTTATAAAAATTTAAATATATTTATATAATTTCTTATAATTAAGAGCTAAATATAAACATCATACAAATTAGGGACCATTTATAGAAGAAAAATGCTAGGGGTACACCAAAGATGTACCCCATATGTCCCCCACCCCTCCTTGTCCACATAAAAAGACAAAAAATTCAAAAAATAAATAAATAAAAGTCAAATAAAAATGGGTGGTGGAGAAAGGAGTGGTGTACATTTGGGGTACACCTTTGGTGTACCCAAAGCATTTCTCAATAGAATCACATTCTTGCTCTAAAAAAAGAGTAATGCTAGAATTACAAACAAACAGTTCAACAAATTCACAAGCTTTCCTTTTAACACTTTCTTAGAAATAAGATGTCTTCAAATAATAGAATATATTTTAATTTAAAATCCACGGAAAGCGAGTTTGAGTTTGTGAAGTTTTGTGAAGCTTGCCTTTTAACTACCATTTCCCAAAAAAACCCACCCTCTTCCTCCGACATGACGTCCTCATTTCAGTTCAACCAGGTATGGAATCCATTATCCGGATTTTATCCATTTTTCTCTTTAATTTCATTCGAAATCTGTTCGTTCTGTACGAAGTATGGCAACAGATCCTGTAATATCATTGATTATGATCACATAATTCAGTATATAATTGCATTCTCCTAGGGAAACATTGATTTCTGCTATTTTCCTCAAAATTTATGTTGTTTTCTCGAAGAATTTGTTTTCCTACACAATTTCAATCATTGTTAGGGATTCACTTTGTATTTGATCTTGGGCTTGTTCCGAAGGAACAGAGAGGAAAAGGCATAGAACAAATCTGCGGTCTTTTATACAGCGCTGTTGTGAGACTATGTTAGACTTAGAATATAATAACTTTTTGGTTGAGTTGATTTGGTTTCTTACATGATATGGGAGCCTTGTTGACCAAAAGGTCATGAGTTCGAAACTCAGAACCATTCGATTTTTTTTAAAAATTATGGTTTATGGTGCGAAGCTCGAAGCAGTCACCCTTACACGTGAGGGCCGTGTTAGAATTTAATAATCTTTTCTGGGTCTACAACCATAAGCTTGAGTTGTTGGTATTAGTTGGGTTTGTTCCTTGACCGATTGAGATATTGATTAGGGGTACTTGGTTATTAGTAGCATGTTTGGTAAGCTTAAAACAAAAACTAGGGGAGAAAAACAAAGCCGATGAGGCTAAGAATGCTGCTTCGCGCACGTCAAATGAGCCATCACAACTTCTGATTTTAGCCAATGCCCATTCTAATCCGAACCTTTTGGAAAACTTTTTCTCCTTGAAAGACGTCTTATGTTCCGAATGCCACACATTGTTCTCCAGGAGGCTTCAAATTTATTGTGTTAAGTTTGACTTCACGGACGTGATGTAATTTGCCCGTGAATATAGATCAAGTACAAATGTTGTTTCCAAGAGACTCCCAGCTCAAACACACTCAACAATTTTTTTGACCACTAATAACTCTATTACGATTGTAGTATTTGTCCATATATACTCAAACACACTCAACATTAACTAACAAAGAGAGCACACAACACATTTTAGCAAAGAACAAAGAGCAAACTAAAAGCAAAGAAAAGCGCACATAGTCACAATACACACAAACTGACAAAGAGCAAACTAAGAGTAAAGAAAAGTGCACATAGTCACAAAACACACAAACTGACCCCAAGCCCAGAAAGCACCCGCACAAAACAACCACCAAGGCCCAATAGCCTACCCAACTACTCGATCTAGCATTAGGTTTCCAGGCGTTCCTATCTATGGTCATATCCTAAAAGTCTTAATAAGTTATGTCTAATCACCTCCTTCCAACTCTTCCTAGGTCTACCCCTTCCCCTACCTTCACCCACTATCGTAAGCCTCTCGCATCTTCTCTTCACGTACCCAAACACCTTAACCTAGCATTCGGCAACTTATCTTCTACATGTGCCACTTCTACCCGTCCCTCAGTCACCTGGTTTTGAATCTTATCCAACTTCATCTGCCTACACATCTACCGCAACATCCACATCTCTGCCACATGAAGTTGCCAAATGTGAGTTTTTTTCACCACCAAGCACTCTGCTCGGTAAGGCATATCTGATGTGACTACTGACTGATAGAACTTCCTTTCATGCCAACTGATAGCCACTTGCTGCAAAAGACACCCCATCTGTACGATAAAAAACATCCCCATGCCATCTATCTCAGCATCTGCCTAAATGATCGAACCTAGATACCAAGAGGCAAACTCTATCTGAACCCTGATGTAGTTCACTCGGGCTCGTGTAAAATGAATGAAGTAAAGCAAGACAATAAAACTAAGATGATACCAGTCAACATTTTTTTGTGTTTGCTCCCCAGTGGCGGCATATAAAGTGGTGATCCGTGGACACACCTGCAAGTTGGGTTTGAGTTGTTCGTGAGATGTGGAATATATTTCGTGATCGACAACCGGGTTGCTAAATGATGTCTTGACCATTATTTTCTGATGAAACTCTTCGACTTGTTTGAATCCAAAGATCTGCGAGAACGCCAGTATTTGAAGAATATTCTTCACCAAATATATGGGAGTTTCATTGTTCACCATCAATTTGAAACCGTATAAATAGGAACACGAAAATCATAATGGGAGTAGGCATGTCGATATTCTTACGTGTGATTAATGGGTTCAAATTTCAAATAAAGGAAGAGCATATGTTGTTCCCTGTCCTGGCACTCATTCCTCTGATGTCCAGAAGGCTAATTGTGTGTTTGAGTATCATCAACATTTGTCATATTGCACTTCATTGTTTGTGGACAAAGACTATAGATTTGGTTGTGTTTTCATTAAGGGTCTGCTTAAGACGGCCCGACGTCTAAATGTGCAATAGATCTTCTGTCTTAGTGAAGTCGAATAATTTTTTTAAAGCTACTCATCCTTTCGAGTCTTCGTACACACACCCTCCCCAGACATGTTGATGCAGGATTCTATTGGGTTGTTGTTAATAATAATTGTTATCATCCTTTTGAATTTCAACAATGTGTGGTTTCTTGAGCCAAGATTGTTCCTTGATGATTGTATTTGCCTTTAGTGTTTACTAGATAGGAGAACTTGTTATACCCACTTGGTTTTTAGTGATTAGTGGAAGCTTTAGTATCGTTGTTGAACAACCTTATGGTTTTCTCCTCAATTTGGGGTTTCCACATAATTGGTGTTTTCTGTATTTATTTTCGCTTTAATTTATTCGTGTTGGTGCTACAATTTACAGATTGTGTCGAGCCTTGTCAGCCATTATGGTTATTTAGAGAAAGGATTTATTTTTCTTCCGCTTGTTTTGCGTGTGCTTCCCCAACACTTTGTGGTTAGTTACTGCTCATCTTCATTGTGGATCTGACTCTCTCCATTGCAGAGGCAGAATCAGGCTGGTGTTGCTTTGTTCAACTACGTATTCTGTTATTTCTGCTGTGCTAATACTAATAATGAGGTAATCTCTCGTCACCCTGTGGCTTCTCTTCTTAAGGTTCCTGGTTATGACCGTTTTTTATTTTATGTGCATACATTTCCTTATATGAACAATAGTTAGTGTGTTGTTATTTGTTAGTTTGATGCTTTTTCTAATGCTCTTTTATTTCCATACAATTACTTAAATTGTTGCTTATCGTTCTATTTACACTACTCTTCTTGAAATGTACTCCGTATATTTATTTATTCTGCCAAAAATAAATAAATTTTGGGTATGTTTTGTTTGGGTGGGTTAAAATTTAAATATTTGAACCTCTAGGGCACTGCAGAATCTTATACAATATTAGGTTAAATATAACTAAGAACATGTTTTTGCTTGGCATTAAAACAGATGATACTACCATTGCTAATGACACAATTATCAGAATAATTAGAACCGTAATGTACGTTGGTGGTTAAGTTTACAACTACAAATATAGAATAATTAGAAGAGACAACAATAAAAGAGTGGTTGCAATGGGAGGAGGGGATGGCAGATTGCCGCCACCGAACGGGACTTGGAATGGGTTGTCCTCGTGATTGCCACCGGAGGGACTTGCATTGTTGTTGTTGTTGTTGCTGTTTCCGACAGGGGTTGTCCCGCCACCGTAGGCTACCGGCGTGCTGTTCTCCATGTGGAAAATAAAATTAAATAGTTTAGGACTCATAGTGTCCCTACTTATAATGTCCAATAAAATACAGTACGAGTTATTGAGTAGAATTTACAACGAACCTGATGGGGCCCAGAGGGAGGACGCCGGAGTGCATGGTGAGGTTCTCAATGAAAAGGACGGAATGGGAATCGAGGCTGGAGGCCTTGGCGTACTCGTTGCTGAGATCTTCCCCGGAGGGTACGAAGAATGCCCCGTTTACCAACATGTCCCCTTCCGTTCTCCAGTTCCACCCGATCCACTCCGAATCCGGCGTGTCCACCCGCTTTGTCACCTTCATCGATCACCGCGTACATAAATCTCAATAATCGTGGAATTGATTCATAAAAATGATCAAACTTGTTTGGGACAGTGTAGTACCTGCTTGGATTCATTGTCATCTGGCGCGATGTAACGGTTGCCCTGACTGTTGATGGTAGGGCTGGCACTGCCTCCGATGGCATACATTTGCCATTCCGTGTAGTCATTGTTCACCACGTGTACGTATCCTCTCCTGCACCTCGGCATTCTTTGCACACACCCCACCCCAAAGTGATTGAATGCCACCGTCACCTTCATTGCCGCCAACATTGATTAAACGAAGTGAAACGAAACCAAAGGGCAAAGTTGTCAAACGAAGCGAAAAAAGGCTAACCTGCATTCCCACGTCGGCCACGAACGTGTCTACGTGGCCAAGGAGCATAACCTTGTCGTGGTGGGAAAAGTGGCTATTGGAGATTGTGACCGCGGTGGACGCCCTAGTGACGTCGATCAAACCGTCCGTACAACTCGACAAGGTGCAGTGGTCGATCCAGATGTTCCTCGAGCTTCGTACGGTTATCCCGTCTCCGTCCGATTGGCCTCTGTACTCCGTGCGTGTTGGGCCCGTGCGTATCATAGTGTTCCCCGAGGGCTTGCAGTTGGTGATTTGGACGTTGTGAATAATCACATTGGTGATGTTCGCCAAGGTCAAGCACCCGTTTCCGGTGATGAGCAGGTTGGCGCCGCGGCCGTCGACGGTCTTGTAGCTGTTGAAGATCAGCTCATGTTTCAACGTGATCGTCATGTCGCCGGCGAACACGATCCACAACGGCTCCGTTTGGATCACCGCGTACCGGAGAGTCCCCGGTTTCGGGTTCACGACGTCCAGGTCCGACGGGTCGTTGACTGTGTAGATGGGCCCGCCTTTGCCGCCCATCGCTCCGTGACCGAACCCGATGCCGCAGTCCGCCAGGTGCTGGCGGTTGTTTTCCCAGCCAGGGTCGCACCGCCAGCAGTCGTCGATCGGGTTTCCGGTGAGGCATGGGTCGTTCTCCGCTGGCAGCAGTCTTCTCCTTGACACAGATTCTTTCACTCTCCTGTTCAAATTGGACAACACAATAGCTCTTTGTCAAAATTATATTCTTACCCATTACACGATTAATGATTTGTTTCAAAATATGAATACTAAAAACTTGGTAGAATAAATGTCTGATTGGAAATTTCATCTTCCTTATTTATATACCTTTATTCATCTATGACAATAAAATTTTCTTGTCTATACAACATGTGATGCTTGTACTACGTAGTCTTTAAATAAAACTTTATTTTAAGTTTTTCATACAATATTTAAACATATTAACATAAAAAAATGGTTCCAGTCAATCATCATAAACTGAAATGTGAGGCTTATTATGGACAGGGGGACGGGGGAGGTTTAACACTAAATCAACATGGATCGGTGTGTTCATTGCCTTTTCACTGTTCATTGGCGCGATACATTTGGGCGGGAACACTATGCATAAAACCTTCTACTTTTGTAGATATAGATATACGATCGTGTGAAATCCAGTTGGATTCGACGAATTCGATAGTTCTTTTTAAATCGAAGATCTCAAAAACTAGGAAATGAATTGGGCGAAAATAGCATTGCATCCGAAATAGATGAAGAAAAAAAACAGAGCTCGACTCGGATTTGTTAAAGCTCGATCAGAAGAATGTCCTTTTTTTACCTATGAACTTCTCGAGCGACCAATTCTGGGTAGGGGTGTTGATGCGGGATGGTTAGGTTGAAGCTTGCATTGATAAGCGAAGAAGAAGAAGAAGAAGACAGAGAAGAGAAACAGAGCAAGAAAATGCAGAAGCTTGGAGGAAGGATCATCATCATCATGGGAAGAGGGGCTCAAACTTGATCATCATCTAAGGTATTTAATTTGGCTATAACTTCTTTGCTTGGGTAAAGGTAAAATTCCTAATGGAAGTAACAGCCCTAGCTAAGATAAGATTTCTTTATGAAGCTGCAAAAATATAATGTTCATATAAAAATGATGATATTGAAACAGAAAAAAAAAAAAATTTTATTACTCCCTTCATCCCAGTTTATTTGTGTTCGCATTTCTCCTTCTTTTTTTGCTCGTCGAGAATTAATTGTCTACTTAACTTATTTGGTGAACGAATTATCGAGAATTCCCGAAAATACCCCTAAGGATATGCACAGATACAAGTATTCGGGGACGGAGGAAGTAATGCTTATTTGACTTACATAAAAGTAAGTATATTCCGGTTTACATACGGTATAATTTGTAATTTAGGTAGTATGTTTGAAGAAGAAAAGAAGTTATAGAATTACCTCCCTCCCTAATTATTCTGTATTAATCCACTCTTCTTTCTTAAAACCTCCTCTCTAATTATTCTATATTAATCCACACTTCTTTCTTAAATTAATGTGAATGGGAAACAAGAAAAGTGAATACATACACCTTTTTCATGGAGTGCCGGCTTATCCTATCCATGAATATTAGCAGCCGCCATCTTCTTATATTATTATTATTATATGCCATAATGACCGGTGGGCATTGCACAGTTAGTAAGGTCACTAAGTTTAGGGGCAACATTCGAGTTTGATTTCTGGCAATTGTGTTGGGCGGAGATTATACTATGTATCGGGCATCTGCATGTATCAGGTGCAAGCTCTATCGTTTGTCAACAATGCGTGGTTAAAGTCCAATTTACCTACTTTCTGGTGACCGTCTGGCTGATTCTGAGAAAGACCCTCGGAGAAGGGATTTATCCTTTTTTTTTATTATTATATGAAATAATGAGGAAAATAGAGAAGAATTAGTTTTTAATTGCATACAAGTTCTCTGCATTAAGCACACGTGCAGATTTCAAGGATACTAACCTATATTCAAAGTTAGAACCTTTCTCCTAGATTAAGGGGTTTAAGGTTTTTGTGGATATCATCAATTCTTTTTACAAAAATTCATGGCTAGGTCCTATGAAATTTTAGAAAGAATGGTCTACGTGCTAGTATTTTTTCAATCCAACGGCTGTTTTGTATTTTAAAAAAAACAAAAGATATTAATGCTGTCAAAGTGTTGTAACACACTAGGTGTGGTCATTTTAGACTTTCTACATTTTTATATAGACATTAGCTTCATTTTCTTTGTCTGAATTTATTGAATTTGATCTGAATTTTTTAGTGTTGGTTTGAACTATATGGACTTGATGTGATCTATTTTGATATGATTTTAGTGTAATTTAAAGCTATTGCTTATATGATATGATTTGTTTGTACTGATTTGAACTAATTTGATTCTGAAAAGTACGGAGTATAAGTAAAGAGTTTGAAAAAAACAAGTTGAAGAGAACGGGGTCATTGAAATGGTCTTTTGTCGTTCAAAGTGTTTTTATTCATGAACAATGTCTTTTATCGTTCATTGGCATTGTGATCTCAATATCCTCAATCATCTCCAAAAATGGCCTCGATAAACATTGTCCATCCAAAACTTTTTATTCAAGAACTATGTTTTTAGCCTTTAATGTCCATAGTGCTAAAATGTCCTTGCGGTGATGATGAATGACTCTGACAACATAGGAAAATGAAGATAATTAAAAAAGGAACCTTTTGTATATCATTACTAAAGGGACTCAAGGTTGAAAAGAAGTCTTTGAAAACTAGTCTTTGAAAACTAGAGTAAAATATTGAAAACATACCAAAATATGACTTTCATGTTTTTTTTAAAAATAAGAGTTAAAATGCATTTACATTACCAAACATGGTCAAGTACATTACTAAAAAGTATAGTAATGTGCACATGTACAGTGCCACATTACCACGACATTATCACAATGCAAACTCTTATTTTGGATTAAAAATATGAAACTCTTATTTTGGCATTCTTTCTATGTTTTAGTTCTATTTAGGGTGATTTCTCAAGAAAAAAAGAAAAGGAAGAAGAGGTGCATCCTTGGGAAAAAGAAGAAAAAAGATATAGTGATTAGCTTTAGGTTTAATATTTTCTTGTAATAACGAATCGCGTACGAAACGCTTTCAGATCAAAGTTATTTCGGTGTATACGAATCGCGTACGAAACGATTTCAGATCAAAGTTATTTCGGGGTATACGAGATACTTCAATCGGATAAGACGTTAATCAAGAACAAGCACTCGAAAATATGTTCTTAATCCATACCACGAGAATCTATTTTATAGAGTCGAAAATTTCTTGATCGGACATGATTGTTTGCGTAAACGTACGCGTACGTTCGCGCGGAGAAGAGGCGCGAGAAGTTCCTGCGGCTTTTGGAGTAAATTTCGACGTAATCCACTCGTTGGAGTCCTTTACCGTTTTGGACTCCGATCACGAAAATAATAAGGATTTTCATAAAGAAACAACGTTCGAAATAAAAAATTTCCAAGCTGTCCCGGTCAGCTGCCCCTTGGATCCCGCCAGGGGTTGCCGCTCCTTGGACCCCGCTACCCAGGGGCTGCCACCCCCGGACCCCCACTATCCCGGGGGCTACCGCCCCTGAACCCCCGCAGTGAATTTGTAATATTGTTGAACGAGCGCGCACTTCGCGCCTCCTAACTCGTTTGACATCGTCTATTAAAATTCTCGTCCGATATAAGTAAATCTAATTACACAAAATAAACCGATGACACTAAAATCACCAACAGATATTGCATTAAATTAGTATTATATTTTAATAATTACTTAATTATATAAGTTCTGTATATTAAATTAAAACTAAGAAGTCCGGTAGGAATTCTCTTGTCGATCATCGAAACAAAAATTGTACTGACGTTGCTAATAATGTCGCAATTATGTTCCAAAATGGTTAGTAACAAATCTTATCTACATCATTAATCAATGAAAGTAGTCAACATATTCCACTTCTGTAAAACGAAGAATAATGAAAAAATACAACCCAAAAAAAAAATACTTCTAATCATATACTCGTTGAATAAATTTTGAGTAAAAATTTCGTGATTCCAATAACAATCCTTCCATTATGTACAAAAAGTTGGGTTCCTTTCATGCTAAAATTTCCTCTCTTTTTTTCTGTCCACTTTTTTCCTATTTACAACTACAAATATAGAATAATAAGAAGAGACAACAAGAAAAGAGTGGCTCTAGTAGGAGGAGGGGATGGCGAAGCACCGCCGCCGAACGGGAAGCTGAACGGGAAGTCATCGCGACGGCCGCCGGTGGGACTTGCGTTGCCGTTGCTGTTTGCGCCGGTGGTTGTCCCGCCACCGTAGGCTTGCGGCGTTTTACTCTCCCTGTGGAATATAATAATGTTAAACAATTTATAACTTATTATTAATTAATTATTGTAATTGAATACTCCGATACAAATAACGTATAAATAAATAAAGATTCCACAAGCATGTGCATACATAAATCTTTCAAGAGTTTTACCAAACATACTGCAAGACAAAAGGCATCAAATAAAAGATTCCACGAACATGTTCTATGAACTGCTTCATCAACCTAAGATCCACTATTTCCAAATTATTACTACGTAAATTAAAAAAAGATTTAAAAAATAAATGTGTATTTTTAAAAATATTTATTACTTAAAACTGTAAAAACTAGACAAATATCGAAGGTAATATATGAAAACGAGGCCCATATATAAGAATTTAATTATTGTGTATTTGATATTTATTTTTTTTTACCCATTTTCTTTTTTAGTGATGAACATATGAGTCACAAGATTTCTCTCTCATTCAAACAGGTATAAATTTTTATACGGAGTACTTTATTTAAACTCTGTAAAAGTACTCCGTACATTATTGCAATTATCGCTGTTATTAATCACATTAAAATTACAAGAAAGAAAGGAATGAGAGGAGCAAGAAGAAGAAACCTGGTGGGGACTGAGGGGATGACCCCGGAGTGTGCGGTGAGCTGGTCAATGAGAAGGGCAGAATGGGAATCGAAGCTCGAGGCCTTGGTGTACTCGTTGCTGAGGTCGTCGCCGGAGGGGACGAAGAATGCCCCGTTCACCAACATGTCCCCCTCCGTCCTCCAGTTCCACCCGCTCCAGTCTGTCTCCACCGTTTCCACCCTCTTTGTCACCTACATCGCCGGAAAAAAAATCTTTAAAACTTTGCATGCACTTTTAATTTTTATTTAATTATAAGTCAAAATAAAGGTCCGTTCTGATTGACTAAAAAAATTTCAAATCTGGATAGATATTCAAGGAATGGGTAATATTTTTTTTGGTTGGGAGTTCTTTTTTAGAACAAAACTCAATTTAGGAATACAATATATGGAGTAGTTTTTACTCCCCCGTTCTCAAAAACACTTCCTCTTTCATTTTTTTCACTTCCAACAAAACACTTCCACTTTCTATTAAAAAACCACTTTTACCCTTACTTTTTCATACCCTACCTATCACATCATACTTTTCTCTAATAATCTATCCATCATATCTTATTTTTACCCATCACATCAAGGGTAAAATTGGAAGTCAACTATAATTTAACACTTCCTTATTTTGGCTCCAAGTCAAAGTAATAATTTTGGAACCTTTTTTGCAAACGGAAGGAGTAATAATTTTGTAATTGGATGGAGACATGGAGTTAATTAGTTGGTTGCACTGAATGATTTTAAAATGTATATCTCCACACTTAGATTGCATAATATTCGTAGGTATAATATCATTTTGGGATTCCCATTAATTAATTAATAATGTGCATTTTGACCCTTCCAAGTAATGACAAGAATATAAGATTGCATGTCGCCATGTCCCACATTACGTTAATGAGCCAACACCGTTGAAAATTGCTACCTTAGATATTACTCCCTTCATGTATTATTATAAGCAAATTATTCTTTGATTCCACACTAATTGTAAAGATCTTAATATATACGTAGTAAGTTCTTTGATTCCTCCTGCCCACAAAACCTTTTTTTTTTCTGTTTTTATTCGTTTAATTTTTTTCTTATTTCTATTAAAAAGTTACATTTACCCATATTAATTCTTAACTTACAAATCGCATCACACTTTTTCACTATTAATCTACTCATCACATCTTATTTTTACGGATCACATCTAAAGACCTTTTTTGTAAATTTAACATCAAAATACACTTATTTTAGATCTTTTAAAAGTCAAAACCAGGATGATTTTGTGAGACGAAGGAATACCATTTACGAGTTAAAAGGCTGGTCTCAAGACAATCAAGAGACCTTGGGACACAAATAAATTAAGTTTTGAATCGCAGTCCATGATTTATGCAAAAAACAAGAAAAAAGATAGAATAGGTGGCACATAAGAGGACATTACCTCTTTGGCGTTAGGGTCATTGGGCGCAATATAACGATTTCCCTGACTGTTGATGGTTGGCCTCGCGCTACCTCCGATGGCATACATTTGCCATTCGGTATAGTCGTTGTTCACGACATGTATGTATCCTCTTCTGCACCTCGGCATCCTCTGCACACACCCTTCCCCGAAGTGGTTGAACGCTATCGTCACCTTCATTGCACGCATGCACCCTTTCATTAATTACCATCAATCCACAATATTAAAACAATCATTTTGCATTTCACTTCTTCTTAGTTCTTCCCTATAAAACTCTTCCCAATTTCTTTTTTCGAACGTTAAAAAAAAACACACTCAATGCATTTCTTATTTTAATAAAAAAAATCTACATAAAAACGAGATTTGCTAGGTGTACACTAGTATTGATACACCAAATGTACACTACTCGCGTCACAGACACATATAGACAGTAATTATGACCAAATAAACATTTGATGTCTCTGTGTCGTGATTTTGTTTTTGAAAAAAAGGAGAGAAAGACTAACTTGCATTCCGGAGTCGGGGAGGTAGGTGTCGACGTGGCCAAGGAGCATAACCTCGTTGTGGTGGGAAAAATAGCTATTGGAGATTGTGATGGCGGTGGACCCCATTATGGCGTCGATCAGCCCGTCCGTACAGCTCGACAGAGCGCAGTGGTCGATCCAGATGTTCCTCGCCGTGAACATGGAGATTCCGTCGCCGTCCGATCTGCCTCTCCACCCCACGTGCGATGTGCTCGACCGCACCAGAGTGTTCCCCGACGGCTGGCAGTTGGAGATCTGGACGTTGTGGATGATGACGTTGGTGACGTACTGCAGCGTGATGCAGCCGTTCCCGGTGATGTGCACGTTGGCGCCGCGGCCGTCGACGGTCTTGTGGCTGTTGAAGATCAGCTCGTGTTTCAGCGCGATCGTCATGTCGCCGGCGAACACGATCCACAGCGGCTCCGTCTGGATCACGCCGTACCGGAGAGTCCCCTGCTTCGGGTTCGCGGCGTCCAGGTCCGACGAGTCGGTGACCGTGTAGATTGCCCCGCCTTTCCCGCCCATCGCTCCCTGGCCGAATCCGATGCCGCAGTCCGCCAGCCGCTGGCGGTTGCTTTGCCAGTTCGGATCGCACCGCCAGCAGTCGTCGATCGGGTTTCCGGTGAGGCATTGGTCGTTCTCCGCGGGCAGCAGTCTTCGCCGCGACACCGATTCGTTCACTCTCCTGTTGAATTCGCACAGCACACCAACTGTTTGTCAAAATGCTCGACTGAAATTCATTGAATTTCACAAAATTCGGTTCTCAATTTTATGAAAAAAATAAACAGAAACTCTCAATTCTCAGAAATCTAAAAGTGTAGAAATTCTCCAATATAGAACAATCCAGATTTGCTAAAGCCTGATTTGAGAAATTCATGTTATTTTACCTATGAACTTCTTGAGCTACCAATTCTGGGTAGGGGTGTTGATGCGGGAGGCTGAGATTGAAGCTTGCATTGATAATAGAAGAAGAAGAAGATGATGATGATGATGATGATGATGAAGATAATAATGAAGAAGAAGAAGAAGACAGAAAAGAGAAACAGAGCAAGAAAATGCAGAAGCTTGGAGGAAGGATCATCATCATCATGGGAAGAGGGGCTCAAAACTTGATCATCATCTAAGGTATTTAATTTTGCTGTAATTTCTTTGCTTGTGGACAAGTAAAATTCCCAAGGGAAGTAAGAACCCTAGCTAAGATAAGATGTCTTCTTGCCCTGGAATACACTCTTTCTGAACCTGCAAAAATTATATGTTCATATAAAATTGATGAACTTGAATACAAAAAAGCATTCTATTGCCATGTCTGAATTCAGTTTTTCACACTTTGAATTGCCTAGAATTCATTGTCATTTTCTTCATTTAATAACCAAGTGATCGAAATTACCCAAAGGCCCCTAATGAGATTGCAGGCTACTAAAGAGGACAAACCAATTACAATGACTTTTTTTGTCAATCCCCATCTTTTTCAAGTTTGAGAGGTCAGGATAAGTGAACAACTAAATCTAAATGGTGGGAATAAAAAAATATATTTATATATGATGAATATAAAATAATACTCCCTCCGTCCACAAATAAACTTTACATTACGCGTTACGATGTTTGACTGAAGTTATTTTCAAATCAGTTTATATGAAAAATGGTGTAGAATTGAAAAATAAAAATTACATATTAAAAAACTATATCAAAAGATCTACAAAACTAGAGGTGACATGACTATATTATTTTATCAAATGAGTGATGAAAATAGGCCAACAAAGTGAATAAAGTTTAACCCTGTGAATAGTGAATGTAAAGTTTATTTGTGGACGGAGGGAGTATTATATATCCAAATTTACAACATACTACTTCAAACGTAACGCAAAAAATGATGAATTTTTTTATTCAAAATTAGAATTTTCCTACAAATGTATTCGAGTAATTGAGAGACTTTTTTTAACTCATTCCACTTTTTCCAACTTCTTCAAGTTTTTTTAATTTCTTCCAGTTTCTTCCATTCTTTCAGTTGCTTCCCACATCTGAGTCTGAAATTCAATCCAAAAACACAGAGTTGTATTATATGTAGCCTATAATCACAAGTTTGTTTGAGCCTTTAGTTTTAACATAGTATTAGAATCCATATATTCTTCTTTCTCAAAACCTTCCTCCCTAATTATTCTGTACTAATCCACTCTTCTTTCTCAAAACCTTCCCCCCTTAATTACTCTATCAATTAATCCACTCTTCTTTCTTTCAAAACCTTATTAATCAATTCTTCTCCCTTAAATAAAAATGCGAATGCGAAACAAGAAAAGTGAATACCTGCAGACCTTTTCCATGGAGTGCGGGGCTTATCTTATCCATAGTTTTTTTTTTAGCAGCCCCTTCCCTCTTGTTCCCCCGGCCTTTTCTTATTTAATTTGTACCCCTTACTTGGCTTTATGGGATTAAAAAAAATTAAAAGTGTGTTAGTGGGATTAATTATTTAGACAAAAGAGAAAAATATTACAGGCCACATACACCGTAAATTTTTCTTTGTCAAAAAAGAAATGAAAGAAATTTAAAGTTTACAACGGGTATTTTTTTGACGAACAAATAAAAAAATGTGTTACTTTATTGCGGGGTATAGTATAATCGAATAACAATGTTCAGATAATGACTTTCTGGCCATGTTTTGACATTTTGTATAGGGGGCAATATAGAAAAATGAGGATTAAAAAAACCATTTACTTCTTTGTCCCCTCCCCTGCTCTTCTAAAACTCAAATTAAAAAAAAGGATTAGTCCCATCTCCGACGCTCCCTTAGACCCGATCAGACAGTCACTGAGAGGAAGTAAATTAGACTTTGATCACAGATTGGTGGTGCATGCACCTGGTATTTGTAGAGGATCTATGCTTAGCATACTTGCCTTCCAGCACAGTTGCCAGGAATCGAACTCAGATCTTACCCCCTTGGCACTCTTTGCCTAGCCAACTACGTAACGCCCACTAGTTCAAATACAACAACAACAACCCAGTTAAATCCCACAAGAGTAGGGTCTGGGGAGGGTGTGTGTACGCAGACCTTACCCCTACTCGAAAGTAGAGAGGCTGTTTCCAAAGAGACCCCCGGCTCAACGTCGAAAGTTGCATTGCTTGACTAACTGCTACTTCATTAATTAAGGCAGCGCAGACAGTTTAGAGATCTATTTTGATTTATTCCATCACACCACAAAGCCAAAAAATGGTGAAATTTTGGCTCCATCGGAGATGATGGAAAAACCCACTAGCTCAAATGAAAAAATAAAAAGACATCAAAGAAGGGAGTATTCAAAAAAAAATTGAATGGAAAGAATAAAACACAATGACAAAGAATGGTAAAAGAATTTCTCCCTCCGTGCGTTTTGGGACTAAAGGTGTGTTTGGGTGTGTAGGGATTAAAAAAGATTCTTTGATGGAAAGGAAGGAGAAAAGGGGCATTGCCTGCTGCGGGAATGAAGTTTTGGGTTCTGATGCCTTTTAATTTTGGGGTTAAAAGTTTTGACGACGTGGATTTCACTTTTTTGTCAATGGATGAAAAGGTTTTTGTGGGGGTAAACGGTCTTTAAAGTTAAAATGGAAAAACCAAACTAACCCAATCTCAGTATTGGCACAAAAAAAAAAGGGAATCTTTTTGTATGTCATCATATCAAAGGTTGTTTGCCTTTTCTTTTTTCACTGTTATAGATAAACAAACCAATCATAATATATACTTCCTCTGTCCTAAAACTTTCTTCCTACTTTCCCTTTTTTTCCGTTCTAAAACTACCTTCCCATTAGAAAAAAAAAGATGACAAATGACATTAACACTCTCATGTATTTACACCAATTATCTTCTAACTCTATATTTTGAATGATTGCAAAAAAATATTCAAAAAATCTTTTTTAAGCAGGGTAAAATTTGAAGTCAAAGCCAAAAATTAAAAATGGGGAAAAGTCAAACTGGAAAGAAAGAATTAGGACGGAGGGAGTATCTGTCATTAATCAGAACAAACTTTCTTCTTTTATTATTCTCTTCTTTAGATTTTGTGGGATTTTATTAATTTAATTAATTATGTGAGAAGCATTATATTAATGAATTGATTATTGAATCCCTTCCAAATTAAAAATTAAAAATATCAAGAAAGAGTGGTTTCCCTCACAAGGGGAAGGGACTTGACCTGGCATGTCATAGCTGCGATATTTTAAGAAATGACATTCCAGATTTTTAGACTCAATTCCTCAAACTAAAGTATTACCCATTAAGAACAAATGAGACTTTAATAGCAGATTGGTGGCAGAAAATGAATTAAAGCTTGCACTTGATACTTGCGGAGGCCATATATGTCGAACATAGTGGTCTCTCAACGTAGTTGTCCGAACTTGAGTCTACCCTGTTGACACTTCTTACCTTTAACAACTGCTCAATGTCCATTGGCTCGTATACTTTTATGGAGATTATATGGAAGCTGTTAGAGTCTAACCCACATCAGAAGTTGAATAGAAAAGTAATCAGTATATAAGTTCTTGAGTTCAACTAAGTAATCAATTAGATTCAATCTTTTAATATTGTTCAGTCCAAATATCTTATTACCCATCCTGTTATCCTTTTACCAAATCCTAAATTCTATCAGAAGCACATAATTTCACCTTGGTTACTAGTATTGTACTCCGTAGTATATATACTTTTATACTGGTCATAGTGTACGTGAGAATAGAAATTAAAATGGAAGCACATAATTTCACCTTAGTTAAATTGAGTTCACAAACAAATGAGAATTTGTTTAGGGAGGGTATTTTTATGCAACGTTACAAAGATCACAAATATAATCAAATTATGGTCTTAATTATTTAGATAAAAAAAGTGCTTCATTATGGTCTTAAGCATTAAGCTTCAAGATTAATTAACTCTAAAACATTCCAATCAAAAAGTGTACGTGTGACTGTGTGAGGATCATTCAACTAATTAACCAATTAAGCTTCCCACATCATCCAACTTTGTAAGTGCTAGCTTTTCGTGAACTCTGATCTGATGAATGGCAGCGACACGTGCCCTTTTTTTAATTTTTCTTCAATTTAGTCAGAGGGATTTCAGATAAATTTTAATCATCAATTTTATAGAAAAGTACATTACATATCAGTGCAATAAAACAAATTGTTGAAAGACTTTAATTTTACAAGTTAAAGAAAATGAAATTATTTTTGTAATAATATATGGAGTATATATAATATGTTTTTTAATTGATGATTAAATTTTATCTAATTTACTCGAAAAAGTTCAAATTGACAAATCCTTTGGGGCGAAGCTTAGTATATACCTTCTTTGACGGGGTGGTGGATTTTTCCATCATTGACCACATGTCGCTAGTAGATCAAACATATTTCTTGCGTCCCGTAAAACATTTCATGTTTTAACTAGTACGAGGGGAAGCTGTAGAAGTTAGACCAAATTGAAACAATAACAATTATAACGAGTATGACTCAGAATATGCATGTCAAAATGAGTATGGCTTAGAGTAAGTCTTAAATTTTTAAAATTAGTTCGACGCAAGTTTGAAATTTCTAATATTATATGTATATCAAAAAAAAAGGAAAAAAATGAAAGTACAATATAAAGCATGACACGTACGTGCATGCATGATATCCGAGTCATCAGACATACAAACATGCATGGGATCGAGTCAGGTAGTTCAGTAGTTGGCAAATGTGGAAAATAAAGAAATGAAAAGGCAGAAAGAAATATATATTGCCACGTTATAGTGACGAAAGTGGAAAAAGACTACTAAACTTCTAACGTGCTTATATATAAAAAAATTAAAAAGAAAATGTGGAATTAAAAAACACATACTACCCTCCTTCAATTCAGTCTAGATTTATCTTGCAGAAAAGTATTTAAAAATTATTTATTGTAATAAAATGCAGTGCAAATTGAATATAAATGATTAATAAAATTAACACAATGCAGATTTTAAAATTTTATTTCGTTTTGCATATAGTGAAGATCATTATAGCATGAAAGGAGCTAGTACTTAGGTAGTTATTTCACTATGCACTGCATAATGAAGAGGAACTTTTATGTATTTAGATTTGACCATTAACTTTAATATTATAAACATATTATTCAACGATAACTTTTAATACTCGGTATAAATTTTTTTAAAAAAATTAAGGGCCCGTTTGGTAAGTTTTGAAGATATGATAAGATATGAGTTCGGAATTTTAGGAAAAATGATATGGGTTTCAAAATTAGAAAAACAAGTTTTTATAGAAAACAGATATGAAATCTGATTACAGCCACAATTGTTTCATAAGCAATTAAGAAATCAAATATAAGTCCTGGATATAAGCTAAATAAAATGTGCTCCATAATTTATTTAAAATGTCGAATTAATATGTTTTAATTCTTGTTACTTGAATTTTTTAAAGTACAATTTATTCTAATCCAAACAATTTATTAATTTTATTTTACAGAGTATTAAAATCAAATTTATTTTTAATTTTTTATTGAATATTGTTAATAAACAGAGATTGACATAAAACTCAATACACAAGAAATAAATATTTATTTTGCATAAAAAAATGCGTGAATTAAAAAAAAATTTAACAACAATTTTAAAAATTAA